ATTGCAGTGGGTTTCAAAATTGTCTTGCTCCTCCGGATGGCTTCCAGAGGCGTTTTCTACAACCTCTGCTTAAAAAATCCTGCAGCCTCACCAGGCCTCAGGCACCACTTCTTTCCCAGTCAGCAAGGCCACATGTAAGTGGCTCTTGGCTTCTCTTTTGACTCTGTTTCCGTCTCTCCCCTGATGAACCTTCGGACTACCACTTCTTAGTTCCCTGACTTTACACTTTTTCTTGTGCCTGAAAGAGTCTTCGTCTGTTGGCAAAGTCCTACATCCTACAAGGTCCAGCCCAAATATATACTTTGTCAAAATGAATCCATAGTGAAAAAAAATAAGTTCAGTGGTTGTCCATGAAGTTTGGCAGGAAATGACTGGGGAGGAATGAACTTGCTGGTGGCAGTCATGCTCTGCATCTTGACAGGAAGGTTGTATTTGGGGAGGAAAGAAACCTCATCAAATGATTGAAATACGATTCCTGCATTTCGTGAGGAAAGGTTAATGAACCAGTACAGTTACAGGCAGATTGCAGCAGTCAATTCTGGTGAGATATTGCATGGCAATTACTGTAGATAACACTAATGTACTATATATTTCAAGAGTTGGAAGAAAGGATTTTGCATATTTTTGCCACAATGAAATAAACGTTTAAGGCAACAGATTATGCTTACCTCCATTTGAACACACAATGTATAGACACACAGTACCCCACAGCTATGTACACTTCATGTCGATTTAAAATAAAAATAAATTTTAAACAAGAATGACTTGATTTGTTCACTTCATTATAAGCTGTACTTCAAAACAAACAAGTGGTAAACTCTAGTTAATGACACATATCTGCAGTGTATATGACTGAATGGTAGTGATTACTGCAGTTTACTTTGAGATGTATCAAAACAGTAAGACAGATTCCTCTAATCCCAGCACTTTGGGAGACTGAGGCAGGAGCCATTTATTGACTTAGCAAGACCCTGTCTCGAAACATAAAAAAAGAACTGGGGTTGTATTGGTTGTTTTATTGTACAACCAATAAAATAAAACCAGATCAATGGGGGGATAAAGGAATGGTGAGACAGGCACGATAATAAAATGTTTTAGTATTTGGCAGTGGGTACACCGTTATTCATTGTAAAATCCTCGGGTTTCCTAGGTGTTTGGGACTTGATTAGACCATGAATGCTCTCCTCACGAATGAGATTAGTGCCCTTATAGAAGCCTGAGAGGCCTGCCCTTAGGCCAAGAGCACCAGCTGGAAGCACAGAAACCTACCCGGTTTGTGGTATTGTTACAGCAACCCAAAGAGCAACACTGAGCACTGACTGGGAGGGCTGGAGACTACTCCTTGTACTCTCAGGACTCCCCAGGACCTCTGGGGGGGGGGGGGGGGGCGCTGGAGCTAGAAAGGAGGGGGCGGGATTCAGAAGCTGAACCCCCAAGGCAAAATCCAAAGATGACCCCCACACCTTGAAAGGGCTGGAAGGGGAGCAACCAAGGGAGAGCACCTAGCCGACGGGAGACAGTAAGGGGGCCAAGGACGGCCTCCCGCACCTAGAACGAGGTTCGGATAGACACCCTGCCAGGTGGGATGGCAGTGACAGGCGCCCCAAGACCCAGAGGCCCTGGGTTAGCTCTGCATTTGCAGGGGCCTCATCAGGGGCTGAAAGCGTGGAGAGCAGGGCCCCAGGGGCTTCCCGGGGTGGGTTGGGGGCAGGAATACTGAAGGGGAAGTGGAGGGCGTAAGGGAATCCTGAAGCCGAATGGGACCGAGGAGGCCCCAGAGGTCGGATTTTGGAACTCTGGTGGTCTGAGGCTGGCGAAGGGGCAGTGACAGAAATAAACTGATCCTAACTGACGGATACAGCAGTGGGCCTCCCCGATGTCTCTCTCCTCTCGCTCCCATGTTCCTCTCCTCTCTCTCCCATGTTCCTCTCCGCATCTCCAGGACTGGCGAAGTCTCCGCGGTAAGTCGCAATAGCCCTCGATGGCGGCAGGAAGGCGAGGAAAGGTACTAGCCAATCAGCGTCCGAGGGCGAGGAGACTCCCGTTGCCTGCGTTTGGATAACCTGAGCTCTCTGGCCAATCAGAGCTGAGGATGTTACTAGCCCGCCTAACGTAACAAGGGATAGGCGGGGCTTGAATCCATCGCTAACAGAGAATCCAGCAAATTGGAAGCCTGGTTTACCCAGAAGCAAATTTGATTGGTCCGTTTTTAGAACTCGCCTGTCTAATTTGGAAGCTAGATAAAGAATAATTCCTTAGTGATGCAAATTCCTGCCTCCTTTCTCCTAGCTGGGGGGAGGGGGGAGGGGGGAGGCAGGGGGGGTACCTTAAAGGGTCACATACCCTAATACCGGGTAAGTGAAGACGGGGACTTCTTCAAGCGGAGAACCCTATTCGCAGAAACAGGAAAAACAATAAAATGCTATCCCACCACTCAGGAATGGGGCTGTGATCGCTGTCTCACGAAGAAACAGATTCAGAAATCCTAAGCAGCTTTCCACAAGGTCATGCACCTATAAGCACCAAATTCTAACTCTGATGTCCAAGCCCTGTATAGACAAAAACTGCCTCTTTGGAGTTGAGCTAAGTAGATGATAGACCCACACTCGAAATCTGGAGATCCAAGTTTTCACCAGAATCGCCAAGAAAAAGAAAGCCGAGCATCGTGATCAAAATCCTTAAGCCCAGCCTGAACAATTAGTGACATAGCTCCCCCTCCACTCCTGTCATCATCCAGGGCTGGAAATGTATTGCCACGTGAAGGCCCTGGCTTCGACCCCCAGTGTGAAGGACCTGGGACTGCTCCCCCTTCACATGGGACGCTCTGACCTTCTTGTACGGAAGGGGCTGCTGAGGCTGAAGACAGCATCCTCCTTGATCCCTCTTGCCCACCCTCAGCAGTCCAGCAGCGGCCCATGCCCTTCCCGAGACAGATGCTGCCCCATCTCCCTGCCCTCCTGGGAGCCACTGTTCCAGGAGGACAGCAGCGTCCTCCTCCCTGCACCACACCCCACTCTCCAAACGCCAGGCAAACTACGTCACAGCTCTGCTTACCGATGTTCGCAGTTTTTCAATATTCTTACTTTTTACATTTTTGTTACTACATGATTGCAGCACATAATGATTACATTCTTTTTTAGGTTTTTTGTTTTGTTTTGTTTGTTTCCCAGTACCAGAGATCGAACTCAGGACCTTGCACTTACTTGCAAGGCAGGCACGGTGGCACTGAGCTAAACCCCCGGCCCAATAATGCTTACACTCATCCTAGGAAATTGGTACATGTACACAACACATCTTAATTCTTTTTACCTCCCATTCCCCTCTTCTCCTTCCCCCTCAATACTCATATTTACAAATTAGAGGAGCTGGTGGTGCAGCTCAGTGGTACAGTGCACTACAAAAAAGAAAGAAAGAAGAGAAGGATGAGGAGAGAAAAATAAAGAGCCCCAAATATTGTAGCTAACACGAACCTATACAGTCCAGCTCCTACTTGTATCTCCATTAAAAGCACAGATTGCAGGTCCAAGTCCTGGGTTCAAATGCCAGCTGTGCCACTTAGTACCTCTGACTTTGGACAAGTTAGGTAACCTCTCTGAGGAGGATTAAGTGGATTACTGTCATTCATTAGGACCTCTGTTGTATAGAAATACTGCCTTACATGGTGCAGGCCCCTAATCCCAGCTCTCTAGGAGGCTGAGGCAAGAGGATCGAATATCGGAGGCCAATTTATCGACTTAGTGAGATCCTGTCTCAGAACTGTATAGGCAAGGGGGGTGGGGGTTAGGGATTTATCTCAGCGCAAAGGCTCTGGGTTCCATCTCCAGGACTACCAAATAAATAAATATGCTTAGCACTCCAAAAAACTATCACGGTTGTGAAGTATAAGGATCAGAACCAGCTGCTGATCAGTGGAGACAGGAGGACTAAACGTGGTGTGGTGATCTGAACTGGATCCTGGGACGAGAAAAAAAAAAGAAAAAAAGACATGGCTGTAAAAAGTAGCAAAACCTAAATGTTAGGTTTACTTAATATCATGTTGGTTTCTTAGTTGTGACAAATGTAAAGACAATGTAAGATGACAACGTTGGTGGAAGCTGATTAGAGTATAGGAGAACTCACTGTGTTCTCTATGTAACTTTTCTATAAATAAAGTATTTTAAAATAAAACATTTACTTTTTAAAATGTCAAAAGCCTATCGCTGCCCCCAGCTCCTTCCTTCCCAGAGCCACACACACCACGCCTGCTGCACCCTCATGGGCTGCTTCCCCACCGAACCTCCGGCCTCCAGGCCGGCCGGCCGCACCCACCTACACATCCCTCGCCTGATTCCCCGCCTCCAGCTTCCTACTCCCAGAGACAACGCACTGTTCCTGTGCTGTCCTCTCCCTCACACGCAGGCTGGTTTCTTGGGTGGGGGCTGCATGTCCTGTCCCCCGCTGCCCAGGCCACAGCAGGCGCTGAGTCATTCTTCAGCGGGCAGCAGGATGACTGCGGCGGGGACTGCCCACACTGAGTCTCACTGCTGTGGGTTTACGCCTTTACACCCGTGGTACCCAACATACTCGCTAAGGCCTCACAGGCACCTGGGTGACAACATCAGTCTCTTCTCAGGTGGGGATACTGAGGCAAAGAGACCAGGAAGACCTAAGGTGACAGAGAAGTCAGATCCGACACAGAACGAGAATCCAGCCCTTAAAATAGTTAAAATTCCAACTATCTCCTACTGCGCATGCCCACCGGAGTGGTCAAGGTCGGGATTTTCTTGGCTAAACCATCCTCATAGTCCTGAAAGCTGTCCCGAGGGCACCTGCAGAAACAGAAGGGGAAGGACAGGACCTGGAACCCGGGTCTGGGAGAGGAGGCGACGCCCAGAAGCCCAGTCCGAGGAAGGCGTGCTGAACGCCTGACCCTCCCGGGTGGGAGGACCGGGTTCTGAGCACCGCACCATCCGGGCACCGTGCGCCCCTCGAGCCCCGCCCCCGCCGCTCGGCCACGCCCCCGCCGCCCTGGCCACGCCTCCTGGGGGCCTCGCGCCTCCGCCGCCACCCACGCTGCCCCCGGAAGGGTCCTGGAGAAGTTGCTGGAGGTCTTCGGTGACTCCTGTGACGATGGAACAGCAAAAAGACGAGGCTGGATCGAAAGGGTGAGGGAGACAAAGACGCGGCCGAAGGGGACAGAAACCAGAGAGAGGAGGGGACAGAGAAAATCAGAAGGGGGGAGGGGAGGTTGGAGCACCCAGAAAGCGCATCCGAAAAAACAGAAACGGCCCAGGTATCATCCCATAGGAGGGGAACTTTACAGGATCTCGGGGAAGGCTGTGGGTGGAGTGGGATATTTAGAATGGAGAGAGCTAGAAACGTATTCAAAAAGTTTCCAAACTGAGCATGGTGGCACACGCCTGTGATCCCAGCAGTCTCGGAGGACGGCAGCTTCCAGCCCACCTCGGGCAATTTATCGATGTAAAGATGCCCTGTCTCAAAGTAAAAAATGTGCTAGGCATCTAGTTCAGCGTGAAGGTCCTGAGTCCATACCCTAGTACCGGAGGAAGGAAAATTCCAAGATTGAACCTGGAGACTTGGTGATCCCAGGGACTCTCATAGGGCTAGAGGAAAATAATTGGCGCATTTCTTGAGCACTCACAGCCATCTTTTGTTAAGAAAAGTTAAGGTTCCAAATGGGAAAATGGTTTGCCCAGGACGCACTTCCAGAGGAAGTTGGAGCTGAGGTGTCTGGTGCTGGGACGAATAGCAGAGTTGCTGGCCCCTCTGTAGAGATGGATGGGGACAGAGGAAGAAAGGCCGCGGGAGTCGGGCGTGGGCTCCTGGCAGAGGTGCCGACAGTGGGACCCCCTGACCCGTCTTCTTGTCGCCCTAGGAACAACGTGTCCCTGCAGTCACCTGGGACCGAGGCCTGGCCGCCCTTGCCCTTCCCAGCCCTTCGCCCCTCACTCCTGGGCACCCCAGACCCAGCCCATCTGGGGCTCCCGGAGCAGCTGGCCTCTCTTACTGTCCCCATCCGCCTGGACGCCCTCTCCTACCTCCTGCACAACGCCCTGCTGGGGGCCTACAGGCTCCAGCAGGCCTTGCCCTCCTGCCCCTGCTCGGCTCAGGCCTACCATGCCCAGCCAGGCACAGCCCACAGGCCATCCAGGGGGCGTGGGCGCCGGCCAGCCCGGGGCTGGGGCCCACAGAGGTGGGGTGCTGGGAGAGCTGAGGCCCCTGAGAGGGCCAGGGCGGAGGGCCCTGGGGCTGGTCCCCAGGCCTGGGCGAAGAGGCTGCCATTCCCGCCCACACTGCCGGCCCAGAGTGGGAAGAAGGAAGCCTGGGATGTGGAGCCACCCCCGGACGCCCCTGCTCCCGAAGACTGGGACACAGAGTACTAGGGCCCTGGAGGGCGGCCAGCAGCCACCACAGTGGGGTTTCCGGTGCAGAAGGAGCCTGATTGTCACCTGGACCTGCTTAGACCCCAAGCCAGAAAAAGTCTGCACCTCACACCCCTGCCCAGACCCGCAGCGGCCGCTCTGTGTCCTCACCCTGCCTCCCAGTGCCATCCCTAACTACAGCCACGACCCTAAGGTCACTGTCGGGCCCCGGGGGCTGCTCCGGGCTGCTCCGGACAGATGCCTCAGAGCCATTCCCCAGCCCCCTCTGCCCTGGGTCCTATCCCAAGCCCGCTCCCTCCCACCATCTCCAGCCGGCTCTGTGCCTCTGCCCCTGGCCTCCCTTCACCACCAGCCTCGGTTCATGGTGCTGGGATTGAACCCAGGCAGGGCCTCAGGCACCCGGGCAGGGCCTCTGCTACCCAGCTGCCTCCTCAGCCCTTCTCAACTCGTATTCCCTTTTGAGACAGGGTCTCCGCAGCTCGAGCAGGCTGACCCTGACCTTGAGCTCGGCCCCTCAGCTAGGTGTGCCCCGCCCCGGCCCAGCCACTCCCCGCGTCTTGGTCTTTATTCCGTGCCCCAACCCTTCCTGTCCTTTACCCTGGTCCTACCTTCCAGCCCCAGCCGCAGCCCATCGCGTCTTCAGGGTCCTTCCTGTCCCAGCCCAACTCTGACCCCCTCAGCCCCACCCCAGGGAGCCCCAAGGCCCCCGGCCCCCACTCTCCCCTGCTCCTAGGGGTGGGAATCCCTGGTTGAGCAATAAATGGATGGCGTCCTCCATCTCTGCGTGTGTGGTCGTGCTTACCCTGCCCCTGTCACACTTGGCGGAGGGCCGGGGCCCAGGAGGGTCACCCAGAGAGGCCCCAGGGGTCGGGCTGGGGGGAGGGGTCCCCTCAATCCCTGCTTCAGCGAATTCCATCCTGGGCCTCTGCTACCGCTGCACTTCTCCCTGCTGGAAGCTGCTGGGCCTTGGGGCCATTGTGTAGCGAGGCTTAAGGGATTTGGGGGACCCACCGGGCAGAGGGCAGCGACCTGGCTCGGCTCAGTCTGCACAGAGGGGCCGTGGCAGAAGGAGGGCTTGGGGCAGGCTCTGCCGCTCAGGTAGGCACCGGGCACAACTGGCAGCTCCCTCCCCGGACTCAAGGCCCCGGGGCCCAGCTCCTCCCCAGGGACCCGGCATCCCAGCCCTGCCCCCTCCCTTCATCGGACCCAGGCCTCCTCACCCAGGACCAAAGCCTCCCTGGCTCCGGCCTGGTTGCCCCCACTAGGACCCGGGCCCAGCTCCCAGCCCGTGTGTCCCTCGCCGCAGATCACCATGTACAGCTTCATGGGCGGCGGCCTCTTCTGCGCCGGGGTGGGGACCCTCCTCCTGGTGGTGGCCACAGCCACGGACCACTGGATGCAGTACCGGCTGTCGGGGGCCTTTGCGCACCAGGGCCTGTGGCGCTACTGCGTGGGCCACAAGTGCTACCTGCAGACGGAGAGCATGGGTGAGCTCGGTGGGGCATGGGGCTCGCAGCCAAAGGACCCCGGACCCCGGGTGTTCCAGGACAGACCCAGGGAGGGCGGGGGGACTTCGCGACTGTCTTCTGGTTTCGGTGACAGAGTGTAGTGCTTTGGAGGCCAGGCTGAGGAGATGACATTTCCTGACACCAAGAAGTGTCAGGCGTAGCAGGTGGGCTGCGGTTGTGGAGAAAGCTTTCTTTCTTTCTTTTTTGTTTTCTTTATTTTATTTTATTTTTTTGTGTGACCCTGGGGCTTGAACCTAGGGCCTTCTCACTGAACTACATCCCATGTTTTGTTTTTGTTTTGGTGTGTGTGTGTGGGGGGGGTGTTTTTTTGTTTGTTTTCTGAGACAGGGTCTCGCTAAGTCCCCAAGTTGCCCAGGCTGGGTTTGAATTTGTGGTCCTCCTGCCTCAGCCTCCTAGAGTGCTGGGATTACAGGCGTGCACCTCCACACCTGGCCAGAACAACATTTTATAAATATCTGCTATGGACCAATGATTATGTAGGGACTGGAGGACAGAGAAATTGTAAATGTGTAAATACTGGATGAAGGACTTTGTCCTGAGTGCCAGGCTGGAAGATGATACATGACAGATGGATAGACTATTACATGGTATATGCTCTATATGGTGTATCATGCATAGTGCACTATATGAGCTATGCTAATTAATAATTTAATACACAATATAGTGCGTAATGAAAATTAATAGCAGGTAAGATGTAAGATGCTCTGTCACACCGTACTTTGTGTATTGCTAATAACAGCAGCATTTGTTCAGTGCCGGGGTCCCAGGCGCCCCCCCCACAAGCCCCGGCCTGGAGCAGCCCCCGTCCACCTCCCAGCAGAGCAGCTCAGTGCCTGTGAGCAGAGCAGAGGGATTTGACCTCCATGGCCAAAGAATTCCCAGGGTGCACTGAGGAACAACGTCCTCACCGGCCCTGTGACACCACAGGCACCTCTGCCCCCTCCCTGCAGCAGCCCGAGGGACGGGGCAGGAAGCCCATCTGCCAGAGGGGTAAACTGAGGCAGGGGCAATGACGAGGCCTGTGTAGGCCTGCCCCAGGCTTGCCTTCATCTGTGGCTGGCCATGTAGGACACTTCTGCTTTTCTCCTGCTCCAGACTGGAGACCACTCCCGGGGCCAGGGACAGCGCTGTCGGTCCCATCTGACCCCTGTGGGGATGGGGAGCCAGGAGGGACCTGGGCCAGGTCCACAGTTCTTCCTTTTTCTTTTTCTTTTGAGGGGTGGGGGGGGGATTCTGGGCTTTGAACCTGGGACTGTTGCCCTGAGCAGCCCCCTCAGCCCCACCCCCCGCCCGTTCTGAGACAGGGCCTTGCCAAGTTGCCCAGGCTGGACTTGAACGTGGCCGCCTCCTGGCTCAGCCTCCCAGAGTGCTGGGAGTATAGGCTCTAGACACCACAGCTGCCTCTGTCCATTCTTTTGACATCCTCAAGGCCACAAATGGAACAGTGGCTTCATTTGCCTGGCAACAGTAACCCACTCCCAAAGTGGGAGCAGGAGCGGGGCCTGCTTCCCAGGGCCAGTGTGCGACTGTCAGAGGGGCCCAGCGTGGTTCCCAGGGAGGGCCCGAGGGTTGGGCCTTGGATGTACCGCTGGGTGCCGGGACCCGGCTGTGAGCCCCACAGCAAGATCCTTGTCCTCGTGGAGGGGAGACCTGTGGGCAGAGGCAGACAGAATAAAAACAGGGTAAAAAGCCAGATGCAGTGGCACATGTCTGGGATCCCAGCATTCAGGAGGCTGAGGCAGGAGGGTCATCAAGCTCAGCCTGGACTGCATAGCGAGACCCTGTCTCAAACAACAAAGAAATAAACAAGGTAAAAGCCAATGAACAGGACTTTACAGAGGCTAGTGGTATGAAGCTAATAGAAGATAGCAATGTGAGGGAGGATACAGAGTGATTAGTAGGAGGATATGTGGCATCAGCTTTCATTCATTCATTCAACAAACACTTCTTCAGACCAGTGGGTAAACCAAACCTGTGCTTTGAGTGTTCATTTTTTTGGGGGGGGGGGTGGTACTGGGGATTGAACCTAGGGACTTTGCACTGAGCTACATCGCCGGCCCTTTTTATTTTTTATTTTGATACAGAGTCTTGCTAGGTTGCCCAAGTGAGGCTCAAACTTTTGATCCTCCTGCCTCAGCCTCCCAGAGTGCTGGGATCACAGGAGTGCATCACCATGCCGGCTTGGGGTGCTCTTGGCAAGAATCAACCCAGTCCCTGCACTGGGGGAGAAATCAAGCTGGAGGGAGAAAACAGAAAAAGAGAGTCTCAACCCGGGGCAGTGGGTAAGAATGGTGCCCAGGGAGGGAAGGAGCTTTGAGGAGCTGGGCTTTGGAGGATGAGCAGGAGCTTGCCAGGTGAGAAGGAAGGCATTTGTAGTGAAGGAGAAACCAGGTCTGACCCATGGGGAGGAGGGAGGCATTCTCACCTGCGAGCCAGCAGTGGCCGGAGAGCCAGCGGGCCCGGGAGTGACCACGGTGCCCCACAGCATCCTGGAATGCCACCCGGGCCCTCATGATCCTGTCCGCCCTGTGCGCCGCCTCGGGCATCGCCCTGGGCATCCTGGCCTTCACCCAGCAGCCCGCCTTCGCCCGCCTCTCGAGACCCTTCTCCGCCAGCAGCATGTTCTTCGCCGCCAGTGAGTGACCCCAGCGCCGCTGTCTGCACCCCAGTGCCCGAGCCCGACTGGAATGCTAAGCCCCACACCCCAAGCCACCCCAGGACCACTGCCTCCTTACCCGCCACCCAAGCAGGGACTCAGCGGCGGCGCTGAGCTGCATCCCAGCCCTTCCGGGCTTTTTGCTTTGACAAGAGCCTTGCTAAGTCAGTGAGTCGCCCAGGCTGGACTCAGAGCTGTGGTCCTCCTGCCTCAGCCGCCCACAGAGCTAGGATTAGAGCCCCACCCTGAGCCACCGCATCATAGTAACATAAATTTGTGTTGGACCTGGGGTGCAGATCCCAGGGGTGTCAGGAAAGACACCCTTAGGACTCAGGACACCCCAAGAACTTAGTCTCCCTCCCTGAAACCAGACATCCGACCACCCAACCACCCCGACCCTCATTGGCCTCATCCTACAATTTAAAAAAGAGGAAAACCCCCCAAATCACCCCCAGATCAATCGCACCCATTTCCCCCCTCATATCCCCCTCTCCCCTCCCCCTTCCATCCCCCACCCTCTCCCCCTCCGCCTTCCACCCTGCACCTCTCTCTCCCCAGCCCTTTTCCTGCTGTTGGCCTTGGCCATTTACACTGGGGTCGCCGTCAGCTTCCTTGGCCGCCGCTTCAGGGACTGGCGCTTTTCCTGGTCCTACATCCTGGGCTGGGTGGCTCTGCTCATGACCTTCTTCTCAGGTACTGGGCTTGGGGAGGGTGTGCAGTGACAGGCTGTCCCCTGGGGACCCCACGCCCTAGTCTGAAGGCCGGCTCCAGGCCTGAGCAGGCTGGGGACTGTGGGCCCCAGGGGCAGAGGGCGTCGAGGCATCTGGGGCTCACGGGACCTCTTTCTTCTGCAAGGCATCTTCTACATGTGCGCCTACCGCATGCACGAGTGCCAGCGCCTGTCCACCCCGCGCTGAGCCCGCACTGGCAGACGGAGGGAAGTCGCTGCAGGGGAAGGGGTCCCAGCCCGCGGGGCACAGGGGGCTCGGGCGGGGCCCTGACTCCTGTGTCCCGAGGGGAAGTCGGGGAATTGGGCCTGGAGGGAGGCAGCAGAGAAGCCCAAGCCCCAGCAGCCAGGTGGGTTGTTAGAGAAACGAGTATCCCTTAGTGCGGCTTGGAGGCCTAATAAAGCGACGTGAAACTGTGCAGGTTCGAATCCTTGCGGGGAGGGTGTGGGGGGGAGGCAGGAGCTGGGTCACGGTGGCCGGGCTGTGGCACTCCGTGGGGACAGGACTGAAATCATCTCATCCCCACCCAGACTCAGCCCCAGTTCCACTTCAAGAAACGGGCACAGGGGATGTTCCAGGCACGCGTGCACGTCTGCAATCCCAGCACGCCGGAGGCTGAGGCAGGAGGATTGTCAAGTCAAGCCCAGCCTTGGCAATTTGTCAAGACCCAGTCTCAAAATACAAAGTGAAAAGGTCCAGGGGTGTAGCTCAGTGTGACGTCCCTGGGTTCAATCCTCAGGACCTCAAAAAAATATATCAGCAGGCCTGGGATGTAGCTCAGTGGCACCAGGCCTGCCTGGCACACACAAGGTCCTGAGTTTGATTCCCTGTACCAAAAAACAAAAAACAAAAAAAACCATATTAGTGCCGGTGTCGATATTATATAAATGTTATAGGAATAGAGGCTTTTTTCCTAAAATATTCGCTGGGACCTCCAAATAACAATAATATTTTATTTCTAGAAGCTTCCTCTAACAGAATGGCAGCTGAGGCCTTCTGTAATAATTCATTGGCGCCTGTATAAGTAGAAGCGTCACCAAGGCTTGTTCTAGTAATTACGTTCACAGGGACTTACGTTAGCAGTAGCAATAACGGCATAATTACAATATCACATCCTGTCTCTAACGACTTACTCAACATTTCCACTTGAGAATCACAGGCATCTCAAATGTCACAGGTCTGAAAATAAGTTCCAATCTCTCACCCCCAACTGCCTCTCCCTTGGTCTCCCCATCTTAGGAAACGATGATCCATTTGTAATCAGTTGCCCAGGCTGGCCTTGAACTTGGGACCCTCCGTCCATTCTCACCCAACCACAGCCTCCCAGGGGGCTGCCTGGGCTGGCCCTCCACCCACTGCGGAATACACTCCGCTCCCAGCCCTCCTTCTGAGGAGCAAAGCTAAACTCCAAGGTGCTGGCCCCACCCACTCTGACTTCAGATCCTCAGGCTGTGAGTTGTCTCAGGGTAAACTCTGTCCGGGCTGCTGTGGTTGGCCGAAGGCTGGAAGCTGTGGGCTTAGGGGCTGCCTGGATTCACACCTCTCCCGTGGGAATGGGTGAGCCAGACTTCAGCGCCCTCCAGAGGTCAGATGGCTGCACTGTGCCGCAGGCCCTGTGGCAAATCACCATTTTGGTCCTAAAGCACCGGTGTGGCCTGCGGCCCCAACTCATGCTCACCAGGTAGGACATTCCGAGGGCTTGGAAGGCCCCTTCCCAGCTGGGCAGGGCCTGGAGCTTCCTCCAGGCAGAAGCTTTTCCTGCTCACTCAGACTCCTTCCAGTCCCGGCATGGAGCTGTCTTCCCAAATGGGCCACAGTTCTGTGTTCAGAAGTCACCTTGGCAGGGAGGAGCCCTGGCCTCCCTACGAAAAACGCAGCACTCCCACCCACCTCCTGCTTTAGTTTCACCACAGCACTTCTCACAAACACAGTTTACTTTTCTTTAGCGTCTTAGTGTCTGTCCTCCAACAAGAAGATGAGCACCAGAAAGGTAGAAATCCATGCCCACTTTTGGTCATCTCTAGATCCCCAGTGCTTCCAGGACAGCACTTGGTGATCGCTGGGAAGAACATGTGTTGGGCAATAAACATTTATTCAAGCCAATTGATGAGTATTTATTGACATCAATATTATTGGGATTTACTCTAAGTATATTCAGATTTAATCTTCATTGCTGAAATAAACCACATTAAATATTATTAATAGAGTAGGTCTAAGTAGAAATGGTGATACTTTCCATAATAACTGTTTACTAAGAGCACAGGGTTGAACCCCGGCCCCATGCATGCTAGACAATACTGAGCTCCTTTTCCACCCCTTTTATTAATTAATTAATTATATGTTTATTTATTTAAATGGGACTCTCACTAAGTTGCCGGGGTTGGCCTCAAACTTGCTGTCCTCCTGCCTCTGCCTCCCAAGTAGCTAGGAGGCCCCCTCCTTGAGGGTCCTATACATTTTGTGCCATCTCCAGATTTGAGTCCTGCGATGAGACCTCATTCTTGCTTTAAAGTTCTTGAGGTCTGAAACAAACGAACAAACAACAAATATGGGAAGCGGTAGAGGGCGAGACACTGAATCACACCAAGTGAAAGAGGACATAACTGGGGTAGCAGAGTGGGAGAGGGTCCCAGGCTGGGGGTGGAGCCTTGGGGACATTAGCGATGAAGGTGAAATCAGCACCCACACAGCAAAGACCAGGTCTCTGGGTGCTCAGGGTGCCTCCGGGCTGAGCAGAGCTTTAGGGGACCCCCGGCCTGACGACGGCGTCCTATTCTATGGCAGTTGGGAGCTGGAAGTTTTGGAGCCCGGGAGACGTTGGAAGGGCTGGAGAAAGCTGGAAGAGCCCTGGGTTGATTCAGCAACCCTGGCAGCGCTTGGGCATAGCTGGTAGAGATCCGAGGAAACCAGCAACTTGGACATAGTGGTTGGGCTGGGGACAAACTCAGCAGAAGCTCCACACCAGGCCGGAGGTTCCCCTCCGCCAGCCAACCCGAGACTGCACCTCAGACGTGGCACCGCAAGCCCACGCCGCTCCAGCCCTGGCCCTGTGCTCTTCTCGGTGGCCTTCAGCTGCCCCTTCTGGCTCATGGCGTGTGTGCCCAGGGCACCGAGCGCCTGCGCCTGCCACAGGGACCCATGGGGCTCACCTGGGGAGGCAAGAAACAAAGTCACCAGCTTGACCTGGAGGCCAGATGAAGAGGAAGGTGGGCGGCTAAGGAGGAGCAGTGGGGCTGCAGAGTGAAGAGCCAACCGGTCCGGGGCTGGGGCTGGAGGGATGAAGGCAGGGTGCAGTTTGGGGGTGAAGATGGGGTTGGTCCTGGAGTGGGATTGGGGTCAAAGATGGAGCGGCCCTGGGCGGCTCAGGGACAAGGCCGAGTGTGCAGGTGAGGCCGGGTTTGGGGTCAGCATGGGGTTCTGCCTGGGGCCAGGCTGAAGGGCTGTATTCACGAGCGGAGAAGGCTGAGGCTGGGGTGAGAATGGAGTCCAGGTCACAAGACGAGCTCTGTGCTCACCACACACCCAAGGCCCTGACTTCCTGCTGCTCCTCACACAGCCCTGCCCGTGGTTTTCACTGTGCTACCCGAGGTGAGACTTCCGGCCGTCCCTGGGTGACTTCCGGCCCCTGAGCACGGGCTCAACAGTGGCACCTTCCTCACTGGCAAGGGCCCAAGCACAGAATGGGCCTGAAAGTTAAGCCTCCCAGATTAAGGAGAGGACGCTGCCTCCTGGGCCTCGCTGGTCCTCCCCATCAGCAGGCTGTCCTGGAGCAGCTGGCCCAGTGTGTCACCATGATCCAGGGCCTTGCCCACTTCACAGAGGCCGAGTTTTCCTGAGCCCCCTGCCTGGACTGGGGCACATTCACCTTATACCTGCTGCAGCTGTGGCGTCACCCAGGGCCCGCTGCTGGAAGAGACAGGTGCTTGGAGACCAGAGGACCCTCCCCTAGCATTTTTGTCCCCACTCCCTGGGCAGCCGATCCTCACGACAAGGCCCCCACCCCGTGCTGGAGGACCCACCCTAAGCAGAGTTGGTTATCTCTCAACTCATTATCAGATGAGGCTGCAGGCAGCTCCTTCCTCTCCACAGGCCCTTCTGCATCCCGACCAGGGACCTGCGTGGAGTCAGAGCCCCTCGCCCGTCACTTCTTCCCTCAGCTCCAGAGTGCTGAGCCCCAGGCCCCACCTTTGTTAGCTCCTTGGAGCTGGGGCCCAGCTCCCACCAGCTCGGAAGGTTGCACAACCACAGGAAAGCATGACACGTCCCCGACTGCCCCCACTAGCCACATCTCCCTCCCTTTAACTCACTGGGGAGCTGATTGGCCACCTCCCGCCTGTGGCCCCCGGGCTCTCGCTCTTGTCCGTCCAGGAAGCCCTGGTGTGGGGGGTGCCCAGGGTGGGAGGTGTCACACCCCTGAAAGAGGTGAGTTCTACATCACACCCAAACCACAGACGACCTGACACCCTGCCCCTGCGGAGGGAAGCCTTCGGGGAGGACAGGAAGGCAGGCTGTGTGAAGCGCGCCCACCCGCCTGCCCGCCTGCCCGCCGGGAACTGTGTGAAGCCTGTGTGCTGTTGCGAAGCACCCCGGGCACCATCGCTGCCGCTCCTTCTGCTTCGCCAGCTCAGGGGACCCAGGAGCCCGCACAGCCTGCTCCCTCCCTGTGACACCCAGCAGCCTCTTCATCCCCCAGAAGCCGCAAACCCAGTGCTGGCCCATGGAGCCCTGCCAGTCCTTGGCCCTGCTTGCTGGCTCCCTGGGCCTGGCGTCCTCCCTGGTGGCCATCAGCACCGACTTCTGGATAGTGGCCATGGGGGTGAGCTCAGCTCACTCGGGCCTCTGGCCAAAAGGGGGCCAGGACGATCCTGTCAAAGGTAAGGGCCGGGCTGTCCCGAGGGGCGATGGCCGGGCTGGGGGACACACTCGGAAGTCTTCATCTCCAATGAGCAGGCTACATCCACGTGACGCAGAGCTTCTGCATCCTGGCCGCCCTGTGGGGCCTGGTGGCCGTGGGCTTCCTGGTGCTGTCCTGCATCCCTTCACTGTCCGCCCCCGGCCGGGGCCCTCTGGTCTCCACGGTCACCACGTTCGCTGCAGGTGAGGCCTCTGGGCTGGGCTCCGTGCTGGAGCGGGGTGCCCCCGGGGGCTCACCTGTCTCTCTGGTCCTTGTCCCCAGCCCTCTCCATGCTGGTGGCCATGGTGGTGTATACCAGTGAACGGTGGGGCCAGGCTGTGCACTCCCAGGTCCAGACCTTCTTCTGCTGGTCCTTCTACCTGGGCTGGGTCTCCGCCTTCCTGTTCCTCTGTGCAGGTGACCACGCGGCCTCCTGGAGCTGGGAGGCCCCAGGGAGGGAGACACAGGCGGGAGGGGAAGCACTTACACTCTGGGCCACCCCAGGTGCCCTGAGTCTGCGCGCTCACTGCGGTGCCCAGCGGCCCGGCTACGAAAGCTTGTGAGCAGACGGAGGCGGCCCCGGAGAGCTGAGCGCCGTGCCTGGAGTCTCCTCAGGAGCCACAGAAAGGAAGGCTTGACTCTGCCTCCAGCCCTCCCTCCAAGCCCACCCCCCTTCACATATTTCTTCACTCGGTCAATAAAAAATTTGCTAACATCTGGGTATTCCAAGATTCACTGGGCCAAGACATAAGCAAGTAGCCGGGAGGCTGAGGCAGGAGGATGAAAGTTTGAGCCCAGCCTGGGCAGCTTAGTGACTTAATGAGGCCCTCTCTCAAAACTGAAAAGGACGAAAGAAGACATAGCCATAGGTCAGCTCCAAGGTGGGTGTGACGGGGCACCCAGGAAGGGGGACAGTCAGCCAGGACAGGGCGGGGGTGCAGTCACAGGCCAGCAGTTGTTACGGGCCAGGCAGCAGCCAGAGGCTGTCAGGAGACGGACACAGGGGTGGCCTCTCTGGGGAAGGCGTGCAGGAACTTCTTGAGCGCCAAGGGAAAGTGCTCTCCAGGCAGAGGGGCGAAGCTGGAGCCGTGGAATATCCAGGGGCCGTCCGGGGATGAAGCAGGGCTCCATGGTGCGGGGGACACAGTGAGCTCTGAGTCCCTCTGGGGACATGGGGTGGGGCCGGGACTGGGGGACTAGAGACCAGAACAGGCTGGCAGGGTGGGGCCCGAGAGAACCAGGTCCCAAGGTGAGAAGGAGGGAACAGGCCAGGTGGATTTGGGGGCAGGAGGAACAGCGCTTGGGGGACCGTGGCTTTGTGGGGTGATGGGAGGAAGAGGATAGGTAGTGCCCAGGGCTCTGGCCCAACAAACTCGGGGTGGGGGATGTGGAGCCATCCTGGGGTTGGGTGTCAGGGCCCCTGGGGACAGTCGGGAGCAGGGGAGGTCTGGAACCTGGGGCCGAAAGACACCTGTGCTGGAGATGGAGTTTGGCTGAGCAGGACCAGGGTGGAGCCTCCGTAGAGGGGCGGAGGGCCAGGGCCCCAGGCTGCAAGGGGCCTTCAAGGGCACAGCCAGAGATGTGGGGGCTGGGAGTCCTTCTGGAGTGCCCACGAAGTCAAGGGAAGAGAGGCTTCGAGGAGGCTTTGATCTGCCCTGTTACGGTGAAGCTCCCGGGACCCGCTGTTTCACCGTGAGCTGTCATCCTGTGAAGAGAGCTGCTGGGGCCCAGCATGGTGGGTCACACCTGTAACTGTTAGAACTTTAGTAGGCTGAGGCAGGAGGGTCAGAAGTACAAGTCCCACCTGGACAATTTAGCAAGACCTTGTTTCAAAAAAAAAAACAAAAAGACTGAGGATGTGGCTCAGTGGTGGAGCATTCTGGGGTGGGTTCTATTTTCAATACTGCAAAGGGTGGGAGCTGCGGATGTGTGTGTCTCTTTAAAGAGCTGCTGGGAGAGGGGTTCTAGAACTCCTGGCTGTCTCCCAGAGACCCAGGCTTCCTCCCCCTCCCCCTTGGACTCTGAGTCCAAGGAGAGCTGGGTTTGAGTCTCTTGGGGGGGAGGGATGTGTGTGTGAGTGTACATGGTGTGGGTGGGAGGGGCACTGGACCGCAGAGGGGACTTTGCCCTGGAGGAGGGAGGTCCCTGGAAAGACAGGTTCCTCAGCTCTGCGGCTGGGGGAGGTCTCCAAGTCCCCTGTAGGAGGACTGGGGAATGGGGGGGGGTCACGTGTCCCCAGGCGGGGTTGCTAAGGGACCCGGATTGTGGAGGGAACTGGATTGTGGAGGGACCTGGGGTGGGCTCTGAGGGGGTCGGGTGTCAGCCTGTCCTACCTCTGTGGCCCGGCAGCAGCCTGCCTGGCATGGGAGTGAAGCGGAACCTGCAGGGCTGGGGCACTTTGCTCAGCCTCTTGGCCAACATCTTCACCATCCTGTCCACTGCAACCAACTACTGGATTCGCCAGCAGAAGGGGCACAGTGGCCTGTGGCTGGAGTGCACCCAGGGCCTGTGCTCCAACATCCCCTGCCAGAGTGAGCTCCCCAAGGAAGTCAGGCCACACACCCCAGCCCCCCCCACAGCCCGACCTGCCCCGGGCCACCGCCGACCCGGTGCACCTGGCTTCCCGCTAACCCGTCCCTGCTGCGACGAGGACCCTCTGGCCCACAGTCCGGCTCGGGGTTCGGGGCGGCGGCCGCGCGGGGCGGATGCGGCCCGTTGTCCCCAGCCACGATCTCATTGGCCGGGGCGTGCATGGTGCTGGCGGGTGGCGTCTGGGTGGTGGCCACGAAGGTGGCGTTGTGGATTCTGTGTCAGGGCGGACTAGTCGCTGCGGGGCCGGACTACAAGCACGCTGCTCTTCATCAGCGGTGAGCAGGCGGAGGGTGGGCCCAGGGTGCCCGTGGGGCTCGGGGAGCCGGGCGGAACCCAGAGCCAGGTTCCAGGCGACCGTCGTCCGGGGGCGGGGTCGGGGCGCGGGTCACGAGCAGTGGGCGTGGCTGATCAGCGCGAGGGGCGGGCCACGGGGTGGGCGTGGCAGTGCGAGAAGCGGGGCCTAGGTGGGCGGGGCCTGGTGCGGCCGCACCTGGCTGCGCTCACCTGGCGAGCGGGCGTGGCCCAGGGCTGCTGCTGCTGACGGCGCTGACCAGCTACACAGCGGGGAGTGAGAGGAAGGATGACGCCTTCTTCTCCTGGTCCTATTTTTCAGGGTGGCTGGCTTTACCTTTCTCTGTTCTCGCGGGTAACCTGGCTAGTGGGAAGGGGGGGGACTGCCCAGAGGAGCCCCTCCCCCAGAGACTCCCCGAGCCCAGCGCCTCCCGCCTCGCTCCCCTCGCTCCCCTCCCCGCAGGCTGCTGCTTCCGGCTGGCGGACCTGATCCTGCAGAGCACCGAGGCCATCGGCGACTTCCCCGTGTGCCTGTGAGCGCGCCGGCCCGGGCGCAATAAAGGAACGGCTCGGAGCGCGCAGCTGCACGTGCCTTTCTGGGGGTCGGCGAGGACAGGAGGACCGGAGCCCGCAGGGGGGTGGAGACGCGGAGGGGCGCGGACGAGGGAACACGGAGGGAGCCGGGGGGGGGGACGCGCGCTCGGAGGGGGCGCGGAGATGGCGGGGAAGGCAAATGGAGGGCGAAGCGCAGTAGGACGCGGATTAAGAGGGACAGGAAAGCGGGAGAGGCGAGACCGGGGGATGCAGAGGCGTGGGACAGGGAACGGCGACTTGGGCAGGCGAGGAGTGAAGGGGAATCTGGAGGGGAATAGCTGATTTAGGGTCGCAGGGAGATTAGGGGAATCCTGAGATCCCCGACCCCAGCGCGCGCCTCTCCTCGGCTCGACCTTTCGCCTAGTTCCCCGCCACGCCCCCTTCAAGGAGCCCTCGCGTCCCGCCTCTCTCCCCGGGCTCCGCTTCCCATTGGCCTACTACACGTACAACACCTCTCCTCCTTTCTTCCTTCTGACTGGTTTTGTGGGCGGGGAACAGTCTCTGCAGTAGTTGACTGGCTGGTGGTGCGGCGCGCAGGCGCAGACACTCACGGCGGGGCGGGGCGTGCAGACCGGCCGAGTGTACGGACTGACTCTGCAGGTGGCTTCGGCAGAAGATGGCGGAGCTGCGCGCGCTCGTGGCTGTCAAGAGAGTCATCGACTTCGCGGTGAAGGTGACCGGGCCCCCTCTCCCACCTCCCTGAGACCCGCGGTCATGTGCTTCCGGGATCACGAGCGCACGCTGTCTGGGGATCTGCTCCTAACCTCTGATCTCTGCCACTCTAACCCAGAACGTCAAAGTCACACCTAGGGGCAAAGATCAGGGGCAGTGAGGTTGTGAGGTCACGACCGCAGGTCCCTCTGCCGTCACGACCTCGCTCCCTCTTCTCTCCCTGGACACATTGTCTTGTTACTTGTGTGCAGAGGGAGTTACCTTCTCTAGTCCTTAACGGCTGGAAGAGTCATAGCTCCTGTTTAACAACACGGAGAAACTAAGGCACTCCGCTAAGGAAGGGCAGAGTGGTAATCCTAACCAGCTCCTCTGACTCCGCATTGGGACTCTCTAGACTGCATCGCCTTCTCCTTTGATTCTTAGAGTACCCCAAATGCGCTTTAATGGGGTCAGGCAGGGCACTGTGGGGTCCAGAGTCTTTCAGCCCTTACAGCCACAGAGTGAGTAGGAGGCTGTAGCCAGGGGGAAGGAGAAGTGTGTGCTAGAGAGGAGAGTTCAGAGGGCCAGCCAGCCTGAGCTGGTCACATTCTCCAGGAAAGGCCAGGGGGAGACGGCATCCCAGAGGCCTGGACTGTCCCAGGGCAAAGCTGGTGTGAGCAGAGGTGAATCAGATGCGCTCCCCAGGCCAGTTTTTCCCAACACTTGGCCCAAATTGGACTGACCTTGACTGTTCATGTCTGGGAGCTCACCACTGTGTCCCCAGGGAGGCCTCCTCAGAGTGGGTGAAACAGGGCCACGAAATTCACATCAACACTGGCCCTGCCTACTTGGGCTGTGGGGTGGAGAGGAGAGTCCGGAGGGAGACAGACCCAGGCCTGAAGACCTCAGTGATCAGGACAGCTGACAGTGCCCGGAAGCGTCCTAGGTCCCAAGCAGGGATTATCCACTCAGTCCTAACCCATTTCCGCATCCTCTATGCCTTTAACCCCATCGGACACAGAAGGAAACTGAGGCCTGTGGAGATTCTGTTGTCTGCCAGATCACCCAGCTAGTAAGGAGCAGTCGGGACCAAAACAGGCAAGTCTGGCTCGAAGTCTGTGCTGTGCCTCAGGGTCCCTCCTGGGACCCTACAGTTCCCCAGGGCCTCCTGCCGATGCCTGAGCCGTGGTCTCCCTGGCATGGGAAATCTGGACTCCACTCTGTCTCTGCTTGTTTCAGTTCTGGTCCCAGCATCACTGGGCACGGGGGTGCCTGCAGTGTGTCCCCCAAGAGAACAGGAAACCCAGAATCCACCAGCTCCTGTCCTTCACTGAGGATTGGTGCCGCTTCCGCTCCCACACCCTCCCTCCTTTGCCTCCTGTCCGGATCCCTCTGTCGGCCCGCTCAGCACAGCTGAATGGTGCACACACTGCTGGCCATGTAGTAAGCAGGCCAGACCCCACCCCAGCTCCTTGCTCTCCACAGCTGTCTCCAAGCCCCTCCTCCCTAGCCCCGTCCTCTTCCTGGCTCCTGTCTCTCCCCTCTAACCCATCCTCTCCAGCTTAATGATCTTCCTGCATTGGCACTGCCCTGTCCTCCCCACCCGAGGCCTTCGAGTGGCTCCCTAGAAGGCTCCTTTGTCTCAGGACCAAGTCCTGGCCCCTTGGCCTGGTCCAGCTGTCCGTGTCCCTACGGGGATGCTGCCTTAAGGTTTGTTTCCACAACCCAGCCTGCATCTTCTCTCCAGATAAGTCAGGCTACTACTCTTTCCTCTGGCCTTTACCTTGGGGAGGTGCTGCATTTCTAGCTCCCATCCCCCCTCAGACAGGCGGCACCTTGTGGGGAGGGCCAGGCCCCACCTCTGCTCCAAGCGTTGCTCCTCCCTCAGAAATCACCTCTGGCTGCCTGGGCCCACTTCCTGCTGCTGCTTGCTTCCTCACTGAGTTTCATTTCCCTGCTCTGGAGTGGGGATCACGGCAGCATGGATTTGGGGGGGCTATAGTGGGGGTGCAGTGACCCCAGAGAGCAGTGCTTGGCACATGGTTGGTGCTGCCTGGTGCTCAGTGCTGCTGCTACCTTGGAGTCCAAAATGGAGGTTTATTTAGCTGCTTGTCCAAAACATCACCCCCTCTGCTCAGACTGTGCCCTAGGCACGGGGCATTAACAGCAATGTGACAGCCCAGTGGTGCCCACCCCCAGCTAGGAGCACAGTTCCACGAGGCTGACATGGCCGAACCCCCAGGACCTCTTCCTGGTATCCCAGGTAGCTGGAGAATTCGTAATTAGGGCTTTTTTTTTTCCCACTGCTGAGATCGAACCCAGGACCTTTCCACTGCGCAAAATCCCCAGGCCTTTTAATTTTTTGATTTTGAGACAGGGTTTCTCTAAGTCCCGAAGTTGCCCAGGCTGGGCTCAAACTCAAAGACCTCCTGCCTCGGCCTCCCAGGGTGCTGGGGTGACAGGCCTGTGCCACCACACCCAGCTTGGGATGCGTTTTCTTAAAGAGGACCCGGAAGGACAGCAACACCAAGCCATCTGTCAACCAGCCCTGCCCTCCCAGGGCTGCAGCAGTGCGTGGTATTGCCTGTATTTCCTCCTGGCTCCTTGCACTCGGGCCTCCCGCTCTCCTCCTCCATCAGGCCCTTGGGTCCGCTTCTGTCGGCCCCAGATGAGCTGCTGTTGAAGGGCTTCAGAGCCACAGTAGCAATCCGCGCCTGCTGCCGCCATCCCCCACCTGGCCTCGCTGTCCTGCTTGCTCTGTGCCCCGGCACCTGCCCTTTCCTGTCATGCTTGGCAGAAGAGTGGAGGAGAGAACCCCACAGAGGGCCTTTCGCTATGCCAGGGCGGCCCTGGGAAACCATCTACACACGACACACAGCAGCACGGAGCAGAGGCCGGCGCTCTAATGTCACACTTGCCTCTTCCAGGGCCGTGGGTTCTGAGACAGACTTGGGGGTCAGACCCTTGCTCCTGTCCCTTTCCTGCTCTGTGTCCTCGGGCAAGGCACCTGTGCCTCAGTTGTCCCATCTGCAAAATGAGCACGGTTTTGGAGAGCTAATAGATTGCTTCTTAAAGGGAAAGCCATGATGCTCAATGTTGAATCACCCAAGCAAAACAACAAAAAACTTGCTGGTGTTCCTGGCCTGCCATTGCTTCCTGACTTCTGTAATTTAACTAAGCAGTGCTTCAAGCCTGAAACCAACTCGCGCTGAAAAGGTCTTCCCCTGAGAGCTGGTGAGCTGGCAGGATTCACAGTGCCCGGAAGTTCTTGTCTGTTTCTTCTGGGAGCCAGTGCCAGGAGCTTGGGGCAGGGTCCAGCCTGGCAGGATCCAGCGAGGGAGCTGCTCATGCAGGGGTCTGGGGTCCTCTAACCTCCCTGACTCCTCAGTGTAGGCCTTTCTGGATGGGGCTCTTTCCTGCCTTGTATTTTAATATAGTTTTGAAGGAAAGAGAAGGTGTTTGGGTTTTATTTTCCGTGCTGAGGAGGGAGGGAGTGTGTGGCCGGGCAGGGCAGGTCTGAATGTATGACAGGTTCTCAGGGCCTCACCTGACAGGACTGGGCCATACCAGGCCCGGGGAGATGGTGGTGAGAGGAGCACATGAAGCCCCTGCCCTCGTGGGCTGACACTTGAGGGAGAGGAGAGATGATGGACAGAGAGGAGCACACCGGTGGGCCATCTGTCCTGGGCCGGTGCTGCCGAGAGTGGAGGAGTGAAACAGCACAGAGGGAGGGCGGAGCCTGCAGGACGCCTGGAAGGATCCTCCCAGGCAGAGGGACCCTGGCTGTGAGGGGCCAGTTTCTGCCCTGTGAAGTGTGCTGGGCTTAGCACGTTCCCGTGGAGAAACACTACAGGTGGATTTCCTAAAAGCAGACTTAGTTCTGAAATGTGAGCTGCATTTTTAGTGTTAAAATGACTTTGAAGGGGGTGATACTAGGATGGAACCCAGGGCCTTTGCACTGAGCCCCATCCCCAGCCTCCTTCTTTGTCTTTTATTTTAGACAGCGTCTCCAGCAGGGGATTTAGTTCAGTGGCACCACACCTGCCTGGCAAGCACAGGGTCCTGAGTTTGATTCCTGGTACTGAGAAAACAAGAAATGCCCATTGAGACAGGGTCTCTAAGCTGATAAAGTGCCCAGGCAGTGCTCAAACTTGTGGTCCTCCTGCCTCGGCCTCCCGGAGTGCTGGGGTGACAGGCCTGTGCCACCAACCGCTTTGTAGAATGGCTTTTTGACAGTGAGATAACAGCAATTGGAAGGAGGATTGTCATCATCCCCCAGTCCTCCTCCCCTCCTCTCTCTGTCCGTTGCTGTTT